CCGAAACATCGAGCAACGTCGGTTTTCCTAAGATCTTTTACTCGGTTACTATTAAGTGTACTTTGAACGTCAGAGGCCTTTCCCAGACCTCGTTCTCTTCGCTGATACCGTTCCTTGGACGTCCGTGAATTACCAACCGGAACTGATCAGGTTCCTTTAATCGGCTGCGGAAGTGGAGCGCCCATATTCCCTGTTCGTTCACGATCTCGAAGTGATTGTCGCTGTTACCTTTCACTATCGTGTATTCCATATCTTCGTCCTGAAAATAAGCAAAAGAAAAGAATGGTCAAAATGGACCAATTTTTACAGACATGTATTTTTAGAGACTTATACGAGATTCTTCGTAAAATACATAAATAAAAGCTTGTGCTGTATATTGTATTGTGAAGGTTTTCTTTTACTTTAACGTCTCTGAAAATGTTGCTTTCTGAAAAATTTGGTTCTTTTAAATCGCGTCATTCGTCACAATGGTCAATGCAAAGACAAGGAATGGACCTTAACGGCCGGCTGCAGTTTAACGATTCTCATTCGATGCCTCGTTTGTCGCAGACTGATCTTAAGAACGTGTTCCTCGCCGTGATGATGCCTCCTCGCCGATCTGACGAATCGTCTCTTCATAATTTCGTTCCTTCGCGCGGTCAGTTCTCGGTCCACCGATTTCAATCGCGAGTGTCTCCTGTGTCGTCCTTTGCCGTTAACCTGTTAGGAGGGAAGCAATCCGTTTGATCTGCTCGCTTGTAGTAACGTGGTTCAGTTTCAGGATCGGGTTTTGAGATACCTTGCAAGAGAAGCAACCTTCCGTCGATATCGTTTTATCGTCTGCAGGCGGTATGTGATAAGGATCTGGATTTATCACGAAAGTGGGCGCATTGCTGATGTCCTCGCCGTACTGCCCTTGCGACAGTGGGTTTATAGTTGACAAACAATGACCCTGATCGTAAAAACAAGAATGTCGAAATTCAAGCAGTGCAAATTTAAAATGTAGAATTTTGATATTAAAATGGAACTTAAAAGTGTCGAATTCTTTCATACGATCGTACCACGTATTTTGAACGAAAGAGAATGAAGTTTCGATAACGAACCTGTCCAATTCGTTGATATCCAGTGGGACACCCACAGATGAAGCCGTTTACTCCATTAGGAGTGCATCCGAAGGCGCAAGGGCTTCCAATGCATCCAGCGCTCACCTAAACTCGTCAGTAATCATTCTTTAGCATCTACGTCCCATTACTTCATCGAAATTAGAAGCTTACCTGAACGCAAATTTGCAAATTATTGTCGAACTGGTAACCATCCGGGCAGCCGCATTTGTAGCTGCCAATCGTGTTGATGCAAGTGCTGTCTCCGCACGGTGACGTGTTGCATTCGTTCTCGTCGATACACTGATTGTAATAAAGATGTTGAACAAATCCTTCGGGACATCCGCAGCGATAGCTTCCCATAAAATTCTGCAAACAACGCAAAGTATTTCTTTACGTGTCAACTAGAAATTTTTTACATTTTTTTTTTTTTTTTTTTT